AAATGCTAATCGATAAGTGACATTTTGACCGTGTTAAGATATAGATAGCTTGTATACGCATAAGTTTACACCGCTAGAAGACTTAGCAATACATGTTGACATAATTCGTAGCATTGAAAAAGCACGCAGAGCATGCAAAAATGAATGTCACTGGGAGCGCTAGGCTGCACACGCTGGACGATGTGTTACCCCACTGGTGCATAAGCACACTAACGAAATAGCTATTCAGCAAACCGCCTTGGCCGTTTAATATCCCCAAACTCTCAACTAATAACTGACTGATGGGTAAACTGCATGCCGAGCTCATTCTGCTTGACTAGGTCAGGTATGCTTTGTCTTTGCATGTGTGTATGTGTAGATGTGTGTCTGTATGTATGTGTGTATGTAAAGCAATTTAGTTTTAAGGTATTTAATTACGTAGGAAATATCCCCTTTACGGAGCTGACACGCTAACGTTCGGACGGATACCTTCATTCTTGCTTTTGTTCCGACTGCAAAAGTTCTTGTTTTACCTGCAACAGAGGAAGTGTATGCCTTCTTCCTTTCTTCTCGAGAAGAAAAAAGTAACTAATTAACAGTGCATGATGACGAGAGATGAGACTGAAACTTGAGAAAGGCCATTGAATCTAATTAACTATGTCAATAGGTGAGATCTGGAAAGCTTGACAGTATTGAACGTAGTGTGACTGCTTCTCCAAAATTAGGATTTAGTGTTACTCATCCAAAAATTTTGATTTCAGTCACCTTAATAATGGCAACTGTAAAAGTAAACCATGCGGAAATAATGTCAATAACGCAATAATAATAATAATAATAATAATAATAATAATAATAATAATAATAATAATAATAATAATAATAATAATAATAATAATAATAATAATAATAATAATAATAATAATAATAATAATAATAATAATAATAATAATAATAATAATAATAATAATAATAATAATAATAATAATAATAATAATAATAATAATAATAATAATAATAATAATAATAATAATAATAATAAT